TTGGGGTTGCTGGTGCTGAGAGAGTTGTTAGGGTAGCTGCTGTTGCTCGTGCTCGAGTTGAGGGGGTTGCTGGAGCTGGTGGTAGTGGTAGACGGGTTAGAGGTGGTGGTGCTGGTCGGGGGAACCGAGTTCTTGGTTCTAAAAGGGGAGCAAAATTCAATTGGTCGTGGGTTCGGACCTGTTGGGCTGTTGGTCATACTTACGGGGAAGACATGGTTGCGGTGGTGGTTGACCGGGGACGTGGAGGGGGTAATAGAGGTGGAGTGGATGGACGAGGGGTTGAAGGTCGAGGAGACGAAGGTCTAGGAGACGACGGGCGGGAGGGCTGCGAGAGCGAAGATGGCGGACGGGGCGAGGCCGGACGATCAGGAGAGGACGGTCGTGAAGAAGACGGCGATCCTAGGCTTCGTACGTGGATGAACTTGAGCGATGGTCTCTGGCGAAGCTCAGGCTTTTCAGGCGGTGGCTGCTGGTCCGGCGGAATCTTGTCGAGAGACTGCTCGGAAGGAGATCTTTTGCGAGAGTGCCTGGAGGCCGAGGTGCTATGAGACTGAGGAATCTTGGTGCTGCCGAGGAAGAAGACGGCCATGACAGCTGGGCATCTGCTTCCTCTTTTATCCTCTGCTCGACGGCCATGAAGTGAGACATTGTCGCACAAGACTAATATGAATATTGGAGAACATCATCCAATTTTCCTTTCGTCCGGACGTCGCCGTCGTACGCTGCTGTAGCCCTGCTGCTGTCGCCGCCGCTGGGGGGATTCTCGACAAGGATGCCATAGGAACCTGGCGGTGGAGATTTCTGCGATGGAGAGACAGCTCATTGACTCTCTGTCCGACGGGATATTTCCCGCGCAGCTCCCAACAAAAGAAAGCATATCTTCGCTTTTAGGGGTGATGCCTGCTGATCGGTGAGCTTTCCACTCCAGGGGAAAGGCTTGAGCGGAATACATCGGGAGCAAAGTTCTGCCAGACACTGGCATAAATCCATCCTCCGTTGGGCTGCATTGGCACCCTTTTCCTACCTATCGAATACACAACAGAGACATCACCTAGACGATTGGAGAGAAAAAATGGTAGCACAATTTATCGTCGCCTTCTCGGCTGTCTTCGGCATGGCGGAAGCTATCCGACACACACAACAGTCAGCCAGGAGGAAAGAACATCGCAGCCGGAAGAATAATCTCATTATCCGTTGCCGCAAGTCAACTTCTCACTCCCCAGATATCCACGGGAAACATGTAGTCCTCTCAGGAGACAAGGTATCTCAGATTCCAGTCACACCAGTCTCGTTCCCTTGAGTCCTGAAATAGATTTGCTAATGAAGGCTGCTTGCTCTCTTTCTTAGCTATTTGTCGACACCGGGACTGATCCCGATTCTGCATTTGGACACCAGTTTGCGGGCTACTTCCTGCCGTACCCAGACAGCCAATACGCCGGTCTGGTCTCAACTATTTGCGACGAGCCGCCCATCATGAACTGGATTTACGTGGATCGTGACACGTACGAGGTCAAGTTCGGGACCCGGCCGTACGCTCAGCACAACTACACGGGCCCCTTCGATTGCACTAGGCAAGACAAGCGACTCACATTCGCCAGTTGGGAAGGATTCTGCGTCGTGAAAACAGGGAACTTTTGGTCTCTCTACTTTGACGTCGAGCAGGATGGGCTCAAGTCAAAGCTCCCTGAGGGCGTGACTGCCCTTGAGGTGGATCTCTTGCGCGTCGAGGTGCCTGTTAAGCCGGTCAAGCCTGAGGAACAGGAGCAGACTGACGGCAAAGAGAGCAAAGAAAACGGTGGTAGTGACAGCAGCAACAATAACGACAGCGGTACCAGCCCGCAAACGGGAGCAAATGAGGTGGAGTTGGAGTCTCCCGAGGTTGACTGATGTGTGGAGATACCGGGGGGCGAGGGCAACAAGGGAAGGCCGTTCATTGCTTTGAGGGAATCTTCCGAAGTAGAACAATCAACGTGTTGTTCAGAACAGCTTCATGAATAGAGAAACAATTTCATGTCATTAATCCCAGCTATTGCCTTGCCAAGTCTGAAAAGTGTGGTCCATCGGACGATTCCCGCTCCCGATTCGCAAGGATCCATGTATCACATCTTTTCCACGGCGAAGAAAACCACGATCCTCAATGGCAAAAGGGGGAAGTCCCAGCCGCCTCAACCCCGGGTTCCATATAGGTACCTCTCTTGAGCCTTGCCCCATGGGTGTTTCAACCAAACTTGCAGTTGGCCGCCCTGCCACGGTGAGATATCGCATCCTTCGTCGAGACTGGATTTACGACCCGGGCGCGGTCTGCGAATGAACAGGGGTCATGCAGATCTCCCGCTGCTGGTCTTTGCTCGACTCCATAACGCGCGAGCTGAAGTCGGGACGAAGCAGTCCCTGCGGTCAGGCCTTATCCCAGCACCGATCATGGAGCCGTCATCGTAAATCTGAGCTTGACTTCCGGCTTTTACCTATACGGCACGCACATCAAAGCTGGTCTCCATACCTTACCTTACGGGCACCTCACATCGCGGCGTTGTGGAAAGTTCTTTCGTCCTCATCTTGCCGAGATGATACCCGCCCTATTGTCCGTTGTCCCTGAGACATTAATGGCGCCAGCCCTGCTGCATGGCGTGACTTTGAAGGTTTGTGCCCACCTTTTCCCGGTTCCGCTGCGAGTGCGGCCGACGGCTGAGGCTCGAGAAAAGCAATGCCGCGGCGCTTAGTCCTTACAATGGGGGACCCGCATTGTAATATCGTGCCAGCTAACCGGAATTTGAACTCGCTGTAGAAGTCACGCCACATTCGAGGTTGATGATTTTAATTTTATAACCTTTGGGCGGTCAAACCGAACTCGGGGTTTCCTAATCGACTCATTCATCTTGTATTTGCAATTCACTGGAACCTTTCCTTTTGTTTTTGTTATTCAAGTCCTTCATACTCCGTGCGAAATCACAACTCTTCGCCTTACTGCTTGCAAGATGATCTGATCTGACAAATCCACGTCCGAAGAGAATGAACCATTTTCCTCGCAAAACCCAGCAAATCAACGTTGAACAGTCGCAAGCCTGGTGTGTTGGCAGATACCCACCTAGATCGTTACCCCACACCCAGCCTCACCCGCACTACCTGGCGGGATCAACCTCGCGCATGCCGGGTCCCTACGGCGGTGGAAGCTCGTGGGAAGTATTCTTAGCGGGACCAAGACTCACGACTCAAAATCCAGGAGCAGGAGAGGAAAACAGAGAGCGGGGTGAGACCTCAACCCGGGCCGGTCCAATGTTTACAAGCCTGAGACCGGGCTGTGGTCTTTGCACTTCGCAGAGGCATAGGAGTGGACTTGCCGCTGCGCTAAGAGATGCTACTATTGTTCTTGTACGATTGAGAGCGCCATTGGGAAACCACGACGGACCTCTCAACTCCCTTTGCAAAACTCTGCAAAATTTCATGTCTTCACAACAGCCCATTATGCCAGACAGAGCCGTCAAACCCAGACTTTAGTCTTTGCCCGGTGCTCAATCTCCTCCGTGCCAGACTCCGCTGGATTGAGCCGGCTCCTCCCGGCCCTCGACCCCGGCGCCGCCGAGAGGCCCCAAGATCCACTTCTCAGGATGTTGTGCAGAAACTCTAACCCGTTGCTTAGGGCTCCTTACCTAGCATCCCGGAAAACATCTTGACTATGCATCCACCTCCAACGTGCGTAAGCCGTGGCAGCTTCGACCCTGCCAGAAGCCTTTGGGTTCAGAGAGTTTCGGGGCTTGGCGGCTCAGACATTGGGAAGCATTGCAGTGTCCACACCGGAGCCCGGCGAGATCCAGCCACACGACAAACTCCCAGCAAGGCCCAGCCTTGTCTAGATCTTTCGCTTCCCGCCTCGTCGGACTCGCTGGCCTCGCCGTCTCAGCCGAGTGACTCGCAAGGCCGTGGGAAATAAGACGAGTACGCTGGGCCGACATCACCCGAGCGGCGAGCTGGAGGAGGGCCCGCTATTTGATCCTGCAGCCTGCCGCAGTGGCCTGATTCCCCAAGGCTTCGTGGCCCTTGGCAAATGGTATATCCTGGTTGTGTCTCGAGCCTCGAGGCCTCGAACTTGTATCCTTGCCAAGGCTTCGTAAATATTATCCAGAGAATAACTGGCATTGAGTTTTCTCCGACAGGCGTTTAGGTGAGACGCGTACGTGCTGTTGTACTTGCCTCGCTGATGCAAAGTCATCATCCAGTCTTCACAGTTCACATCTTGAAGGGCCACTGCATGATCATGCGATCATGCTCGGGTAGATTCAAGACTCCCTAGAGTCTCCCTTCTTTGCTTGTTCCTTTCTGTGGTCATATCCCAGCCAAAGTTGAATGGGAATCAAAGGTGCCAACCGCGCATAGCGGGCTCACAACCCTGTCTACAGTATTCTCTTTCCAAAGGGGCGGGACTCTCGCCGATCACTTTCGGGAGATTTACATGCTCCCACATGAGTATGATCTGATCTCGGGTAGGTACATTAAACACTTGCACCCTCATTGGCCCAACAGCTGTGGAATTTCAATGACGAGACCATAGGTGCATATTCTCGTTAATTTCCAATGTGTCAATGGCGCACCTGCAGCTCGGATAACTGTCGATCAAACAGAGATCGTCTCCCGCGGCAAGAAATTCGGCAGTGACCGCTCTCTCAGGTCTCATGGTAAATCGTAAGACGATGTGAGCTTCCGCAGTGAATAGATACATGTATATGGCAACATCTTGATTGGGTGGCCATCAAGGTTGCCTTCACGGCGTAAGGGGTTCTCTAGAGGGGAGTTAGAATGTGGTGCAACAGTCATGAGCAGAACCGTTGTGGAAGAATAAGGGTCAAAGTGGACTAAGACCACTCTTTATTAAGACTAGAAGGTAGTAGGTATCAATATTATATTTTAGGAAAAGGCTGCATTCGTTTGCCGTGCAGCACGGAGACCGTGGTCCTCTATAGGTAATTACATAAGAATAGACATTAGACCCCCCGCTCAATCGTGATTTATGTTGACTTGAAAGAAACCGTCGCATTGGACTTTTGCAACTTCTCGAGCTCATCCTTGAGGATATACAAGCTCAATCTCACACCGGCACCACAGTACTCGGTACTGTTGCCAGGACACTTGAACGAGCAGTCCTTAGCCGTTACGTTGGCCGCCGGGGTGGTGCCACCTCCGCCACCGATGTTGAGGGCGTCGCCGCACCAGCACTCACGACCGTACTCGACACCAGCGTAGTTCTTGTTGTAGCAGGCGCTCAGACACATGCTGATCGTCATGTTGTCGCGGTTGATGATCTGGGCCGGGAGGAGACGGCCGACTTGCGGCTCGGAGAAGCAACCGTAGTAGGTAAAGTTTTCATTGCCGGTGGAGATGACTGGTCCGGTCGGGGTGGGGGTTGCGGAGGAGGAGGTTGATGTCTTGGTTGACGATGTGGAAGTGGAAGGAACCGAAGGGGTGGCCGAGACCGATGAAGTAGCTGATGTGACAGACGAGGTGGCCAAGAGGCTGGTGGTAGAAATAGTGGATGAGGTGGCCGAAGCCTTAGCAGTCGCTGGGACGGACGAGTTGCTTGCTGAAAGAGTGGATGCGACAGCCTCGGCCGTCACTCTAGCACTAGAGGTGGTAGAGTTGGATGGAGTCAAGGAAGCGGTCGTGCTGATGGTGCTGTTAGACGCTTGCTTCTCGGCCAGAGGAGTTTCGGTGGCGGTCGTGGTCGTGGTCGTTGTTCCATTGGACGCGGGTGCCAAGGAGGCAAAGGCAGCGGCAGTGGTTGTAGTCTCGGCCGATGTGGTCGTCGCAGCCACCGGCGAGTACATGTAAACTTGGAGTCGGTCACCGGCACCACAGAATTGTGTGCTGTCGCCCGCGCAGGGGAAAGAGCAATCTTTCTGGTTCGCTGCGAGAGCGCTGCCCGTGCCGAATTCATCGCCACACCAGCACTCCCGTCCATACTCCGTACCGAAGTACTTGAGGCCCTGACAGAAACCGCCGCAGGACTCAAGGGTCATTGAGTCATTAGCATACGTCCGAGAAGAGAGAGCGCGGACGCCAGTTCCCTCGGTATAACAACCTTGGAAGAGCCAGTCGCCAACCCTCTCGTTTGCTGGAGGAGCGGTCGAAGTCGGGGCGGCTGTAGTCGTCGTGGTAGTGCCAGTCGGGACTGCACTGGTAGGCTCAGGCAAGGTGCCATCGAGCTTGTACAGGTTGAGCCTGGAAGGTCCACCGCAGTACTCGGTGCTATTATCCGCGCAAGCCATGCTGCAGTCGGCAGCAGGGGCGGCAACTGAGGCAGCGGCCAAAGTGTTTCCGCACCAACACTGTCTCATCGTTAGTTGAAGTGTTCTCAAAGTCATTTATGGGAAAAATTTATAACTGACCTCTCCACCGTACTCCAAGCCGACATAGGTATACCTGCTAGCGGCACATGCTTCGACACACAGAGCAACAGTCTTTCCAGTTGTTGTGACTAGGTTAGGCAGGGCGCGTGTGTCGGCGGGCTCAGTGTAGCAACCCTGGCTCACGTACTGACCGACACCAGGGTTCACCTCAGGGCCCGATGGGTTCGGGTTCGGCGTGGGAGTTGTCGTGTTACCGTCCCATTGAACAGAGTCAGCAAAGACGGAGATGTAAGCTCCACCTTCGTTGGCTCCGAATCCGTTACCACCGCAGATTTGGTTGAGGTCGCCGCCGCAGTCGAAGTTGCAGTTGCGATCGTCCACCTTCAGCGTGGGGATGTTGGGGCCACCCCAACACTCAGTGTGATACTGAGTACCGCAGAAGACGGACCCCTTCTCAGCACAAGCAGCGACACACTTGCCGTTGGTGCTCGTAGCGTCGCCGTACAACTGGTTTGCAAGCTGGCGGCCGGGGTTGTTTTCCTTGTAGCAGCCGATGTAGCGGTACTTGCCCTGGCCATTGCCGAGCAAAGGAGGTGCTTGTTCGGCAACAGCAGTACACTCGAAAGTGAAGAAATGCTTCTCAAAGTTGGGGTCGTTGGTGTTCATGGTCCAGGGCGCCGTGCCACTGTACGGGTCGGTGTTCCATTGTGCCTTGGGAACAGTGCACACCAGGGTTGCCGTGGCACTCTCGCCAGGGGCCAGAACAGTTCCTTCGGCAAGATCAACAAGGTTGGCGGCTTGGATGATGCCGGCAACACCAAAAGGCGGCTTGGAAACGGTGAGGGAAAGCTTGACACCACCCTCAGCAGCAGCGTTGGTGACACGGAACTTCAAAGACCGGGACGTGTTCTCGGTGACGTTGCCAAAAGTGAAGTTCTTGGTCGCGTCATACTCTACCCATCCGGTGCCATCGGGCGTCTGGAACTCGACGAGCGCCACAGGCGCAGGGCCTGCAGAGCCAGCAATGGTGAACGCCTTGGTTCCGCCATTGGAAACAACCTGAAGATACGCGCCGAAGGTGCCGCTGACAGAAGAGTCGAAAGCGATGCGAACGGTAACAGCAGTATTGGCAGGAATTGTGGCCGGAACGTTGGTGAGGGTGAACTTTCCGACGGTAAGGGTAGCAGTGGCTCTGTCCCAGCTGGTGAAGGGACCCTGTGCGCTGCTGGTGGAGAATTGGACGTCTGTGATGGAGAGGGCCGAGTTACCCTGGTTGGACAAGATGACACTCTCATCGGTTCCACCCGCTTGACCGGCGATGACGCCCTGGAAAGTGATGGTCGGGGGAGTGATGGACAGCAAAGGACCTGAGCTCTCGCCAGTACCAGTGAGTCTGATATGGGTACCTTGGCTGTAACCCTCGGCCGTGTTGGTTGTGTTGACGACGATGTCGGAAGACACCAGACCAACGGTAGTAGGCTTGAAGGACGCGCCGATTGTGAATGTTTGACCGGCAGTCAGAGTGAGAGGCAGGGTGGGAAGTCCGGAGAGGGTAAAGTCTTCAGCCTCATCTAGGCCGATGTCCGAAACGGTGACACCAATGACGGCCGTGCAAGTAATCGTGCGTGGGTCGCTCGTGGTTCCAACATCAACGACACCAAATTCGTTGGTAGCAGTGCAGTTGATAGGTGTCGTGACTGGCGAGCCAAAGGCGTACAGGTAGCCTAGGGTGGTACCTTGGTACATGATGCCATCACCAAAAACGGCTCTCGTGAACTTGGTGCTGCCCGGAACACTGAAAGACTTGATCATGTTCAAGTAGCCATTCTTGGGGACGGCTTCGAAGATCTTGAGCTGAGAGCCCTGTACATCCAAAGTCCAGAGAAGACCAGTGCCAGCTTGGCCGTTGAGAGTAGTGACAGTGCCGTGACTGACACCAAGGATGTAGGCGTTGTTCTGAGGGCTATCGGCCACCTTGGTGAAAGAGGGGACTCCGGCCTCACAGGAGAACTTGAAAACGTGGGTAGGGTATTGAATGACTGTTCTTGTTAGTGGCTCTGTTCGAATACGCGGATGCCATGAGAGGCAGAAGGGGGCTTTTGCTTACCATTGATGTAGATGTAGCCACCCTCGCCTGGGTACACACCGGCACCGGCGTACACCGAGTTCTCGTTCTGGTACACCTGGATCACGTTATCAAGGCCATTGGCGCCATTGCGGTAGCCACCCAAGTCGTCCAAGTTGAGCCAGTACGTCTTGCCACTCTTTCCAGTCACCACACCAATGCGCTTGACGTCGCCACAGGAGAACGTGCTGGGCAGAATTTGCAGAGGACTCGTTCCCAAGTCCTTGTCGGCGCCGTCTAGAGCTTGCTTCTCCCATGGCATAAAGAAATCGACCAAGCTCAAACTTCCATCGGCGTTGATTGTCATGTGAACAGCGGCTTCTTCCAGAGATGTCGGGGGCGTGCGGCCGTTGACGGGAATGGTGCTGAGCTGGGAGGCGTATCCGTTACCAGTAGCGTAGAACAAGGAACCTGCGTCGTCGGAAGCGAGACCGCCGCCAGACATCCAGACACCACCGCCCTTGACATCCACGGGGACACCGTCACCTTCGGTAGCGAAACGCTCGACGTTGGCACCGCTAGTCTTGTCGAAGCCCATGATCCAACCTGTGAAGTTGTATTGGACACAGTGAGAAGCAAAGCCAGCATAGATGTAGTTGCCGACGTGCAACAGAGCAGGTCGCTGATGATGGATACCGCCATTGAAAGAGCGGATAGGGTTGTTTCTCGCTACGGTGCCTTCGAGGTTGACGGGGAAGTTGGGTTTCTCGCTAAGGTCGTTGACATCCAGGGCATGGAGATAGTAACGGCCGGCGGGTTTTCCTTGAGCAACGCCGGTCAAGGTCTGGTCGACGTACGTCTTGGTGGTGAGGTAGAGGGTGTTGGTCGAGGCATCAATCACACCAGTGGAGGTGACTCCGACGTGAGGTTCGATATCATAGCAGCCATCCAGATCGGCAGACAAGAAGGGAATGGCGAGACTGCGGGAAGCGATGATGCTGCCCGTCTTTGCATTAATTTTGTAGACATTATTTTGTGTAGTCGCGACGTAGACGTATTGCGTGCTGTCGCCGTCAGGCGTGTAAACGAGTGGCTGAGAAAAAATCTGCTCTGCGACGCCGCCATATTTACCGGGCAGAGGTGTGCGGAAGAGCTGGCCGAACTGGGAGCTCCCCACGACGGAAGGGTCCATGTTGTGGTTTCTTCATGATGGGATGTTGCGTTAGATCTGTTTTCTTGGTTTTCATGACTGGCCTCGCTCTTCCCCCACCGAGCGGATCGCCAGAGGAGACGATCGACGCCGGGCAGAGAATGTGTATAGAGAGATATGGGGATGGAGGGAATGGATCTTGAACTTACGTCTGGTACCCGGCTCTCGAATTGTCGCCTCCCCAGGTGATGGTGTCTGTTGAGGCCAGGCCATTGGCAAGGCCAATGAGGGCCGTCATCACCCACGTCTTGAAAGCCATGATGAGTGGCTTGTAACCTTCACTGGCGAGATGGCCGGTCGAAGTTGCGGCGGTTTGGCTCTAAACGAAGGAAGCACAAACTGGCGTGAGGGGATGGGAAAAAGCAGAACACCATCGGCCTGGAGGGAAAGACGGGAGGGCGGCTCTCGATATTATCTCTAAATTGGATCTTTGGCTCTCGAGCGCGTTCGGCTCCAAAAGCTGCTGAAGTACTGCGCCCACGGGCAACGAGAAGCGTGGGACCCATGCAGGGCCGACCCATGGATGATTGGCGTGGCATCAGCAAGCCCACCCATGATGCATCGCATCCCGGCCCGTTCTCGAAAGCTAGCGGACAGGCCTAAAGTCCTAAACCACCCCGGACGGTCAGTCGATGGGGACGGCAGCACGGATCTGACCAGTGAGCCGGCGTCTTGTCACCAGGCCGCAGGAGCTGGGCAAGCTAGATAGGTCTGGGATGCAATATGCGGCAAGGTATGCGCAGGCGAGGCCGGGGATGGAGGGGATGTGCCAGTCGTGGACCTGTTCGAGGCTGGCCTCGAGCAATATTATCATTGGCTTGGCCCTGTGCCAATGCCTTTGCCATTGGAAGTCGCCGTGCTGCTCTTGAGTATTTTGATAGGTGTCTGGAGAGAATGACAGAGCACAAAGTCTCGATCTGTGATCCGAGCTGCCGGCTTGTCACTCGCGAGAGGCGACGAAAGGTGAGCAGGCCCCTGACGACCGCACTGAGAGCCTATACTACACAGTAAGAGCCTAAAAGGTACCTAAAAGTAGGTATTGACACCGCCTCGTCTGCCCTTGGATACTGGAAGGGAGCACGAAGAAAGTCCAGCCTCAGCACTAGAAGGCGACACGAAGGCCATGCTTGCTGCGATGCAACGACAACGGCAACGGGTGTCGGCTTCGCTGGCGTTGGCTGGCGCCGCGCGCGATGCCGCGGTGCAATGCTGCAGTGACATGGTGGTATCTTTTATTGGGGATCGGCGGAAGTATGCAGGCTGCCAACGCCACGCCGTCCGGTGTTTTGGGGCACACTATTCCCAGCCAGGCCAAGGGTTGGAGCTCGAGAAGGTTCGGATGATTTTTGCTCGTTTCTCTGGCTGCCTTTGTCTGCCTGTCCCTGGTGAGCCTGGCTTGAAGCAGCGGCTTGGAAGGGCGGACAGACATGGAAGACTCGGCAGTGGCCCGAGCGATACACGATGTGAGGCTTGGAGGCGTCCGACGGCGCCCGGCGAGACGGACGGGAAGGAAACGGCTGCTCAATACGGTTACTTGTGGATAGATGACGCGAAGTCCAACTGGCCATCAACGCAGGGCATGATGGATAGATGGATGGACGGATCTGAAGGGGTGTGATGATAAGGTAGTCAATGATGGGACGAAATTCAAGGATCGAGGGATTGACGGATTGCGACTCGCCAGCTGGTGCAGCTCCGAGGCGTGAAAAGACACCGGCGATGAGAGATGGGCATTGCGAACCTGCATTCGTTCGTATTCGTCGTTGGATCTTCAGAATGTAATAACACAGGAACAGTGCTAGGTAGGGACTGGGAAGAGCCCAAGTAGACGGGAGTGTTGGTGCCGGGATGATTCAGGTTGTGTGTGTGGGCGAAGAAATGCAGCGTTTTTGACGACTTTCCTGAAAGAGAAAGAGGCAGCAGGTACGTACCCATCCAAGATACGGTTAAAATGAGGCACCGTGGACCGTCTCCACTTCTCGCAGTACGTATCTCAGTACGTCCCTGTTCTTTGCCCCACATCACCACCTGCGCGCTGCGAGAGTGGCTCGGTCTAATCGCCGATGACCCGACAGACTCCACCAGCCCCCGCCAGGATGTTTTTTTGCTGGAGTCGGCCCTCAATCGCCCTCCTTCTCTTTGTGCTCCTCTCTGAATCCCTCCTCACTTCCTTGTGGCTGACCTCCTCGTCCCTGTCGTCCATCATCAGCCTGACAGTCTCCGAATCTCCATAATCCACAATCATCGCGCAAAAGTGGTTCGTGTTATGGTCCGAGATGTCCTTGTCTTTTGGCCTACCTTGCTCATGTTCATCTCTAGATACCTTGTACACAGTCCGAGAGTCGACCTTGGTGTTTGCTTGTCTATGCCAGCACCCGAATGATCCTCCCTCTTCGCTGCAGGGACCCGTGAAGAAGACCCCAAGGACTGGTAGCGAAACAGGGCCTCGTCGAACAAAGCAAGAAAAACAAAAACCCAACAAAACAGACAAGCAGATAACAATATCCCATCGAGCCTGAATCACCAACGGTTTGCCAAGCACACCAGCCAGACACACCTACGTAGTATACGGATACACAGTACGCATACGGCAGACATCTTCCCAAGAGTCAATACATGATGCCATGCCACCGGCTGCGCGTCTTACAGCATAAAGCAGGCTGCTGCTGCTGCTGCTGCTGCTGCACGACTGGCATTGCAGCCAATCCCCAAAAGCCAAGGCCTCAACGCTGGAAATAGCACTCTCCAAGTAACCTGACCTGCAGCTGCCCCTAATCTCCCTCAAGCCTAGCGCCACACGCACGCGAGTCTGGCAGAGACAGGTCCATTTTGCAAAGACAATCTCGACATGCAATGCCAACGCCTTTGTTCCTGGCAAAAGTCTTCCCGGTGACTCTTGTCGGTTTATGGTGTCAGTTATTCTTGCTGTGGAGTGAGTGAGACTTCGGCGCCATCAAACTAACGACACATCAAGAGCCCAAGGCCCCGTTCGTTTCAGGCGGCAGAGAGACACCAAACAATGCACTAACAGAATAGTACAGGTACCCACGACGCCAACGAAGGAATCCAGGAACAGATCGGACCTGAAGATGCCGCTACTCGCTAGCAAGACGCCACTTATGCAAACTCAAGCCCCTTTGCCTTTTGCCGTTTCTTTCTCGCTGCCCTCTCTGGCTCTTTGAGAAGCGGCGTTGGCAAACAATCAGACCGTCGCCCACGATAAGCATACAGCATACTCCGTACGGATGGATCGAAGGCATAAAGGTACTTCGCTAGCGCTTCTCGTATTCCACCCATCGCCGAGACGTCACCTGTCCTTAGCTGTTCGGCGTTCCTGGCTGCCGTATTCTTGCTTTTGTTCGCTCTATCTGCTGTTAGTTCCCACTGCCAGTATCTCTTAGAGCGTCAATTTCTCACCAATTCCCCATTGCCGGTCTCAGTTTGCGTATTCGTCGAACCCCCTAATTTGCGGTGTTTCCTCATCCTGTTCCTATTCTTTCTTCTGTGGCAGAGAGTCGCTATTGTCTTGACTCCTGTCTCATTGGTCCCCTATCATCCGCAATGTCTAAGGGTGTTCTTTTTTTGTCTTTCCCCCTTTGACTTTCCTCCGGCCGGACATGTTCCGCCCGGACAATATCCAGCGTCGCCAAGAGCTTGTCAAGCCTGACTTGCAGTAGACCATTGATTCCATGCCTGGGGTTTGCAGCCTGTCACCCAAAGAGACCTCACCGAGCGACCAATCTCGGTCAGCAACGCAGTCGGATTCTGGTGTTCAAAGTTTGCCCGGTTTTCCACGACTTGCTAATTACAATGGGTGCTCCCACTACAGGATGATGATCTTTCTCTCATCAGGCCACACAATCTCACGAACCTCATCTCCCTAATGCACTGCCTTTTCTCGACCGACGCAGCCTCAGCTCCCCTACATCGCCTCAGCCGAAGTTACCCAGCACCACCCCGGCTCTCCGTCCTTCCCAAAATCGACAAGCACCAACAAACATCGGCACACCCGCACCACGGGCCGGACGGCACGGCGCCCGGCAGAGAAGAAGCGAAAAGCCACCCAGCACCACCCTACCAGCACTTCTACGAAGCGCTTCATGGACAAGAGGCTAAGAGCCCAATCGAACGCCTCATCGCAACCCTCACCGCGTGGCGTTAGAACACTGACCAGTGACCCCATCAGGCCTTGCTTCTTATTGACTCGCAACGTGGTGTCGCTCAGACGCTGAGGTTTACGGAGGTGCTTGTCTGCCCTAGCGTTTCTGACTTTCTTCTTGTCGTCTTTTTCGTCACCTATTTTAGGTGCTTTCATCCCAAAGGGACGGATCGACCGGCAATCTCTAGCTAGGCTAGCTGAACAGCTGACACTTTGGGATGGGACCAGACCAATGCCAGAGACAAGCGACGACAGCTTCACACGCGTCCTTTCCGTCCCTGCTGTTGTGGCTGTCTTGCACGTTTGCCCGTGCACCTGTCTGTCTCCCTGATGCCACGAGCTCTAGATCACAACCCGAGGTGGATTGAGATTTCCTGAATGGGCCAGTGCCGATTCAATCAGCCGACTTTTGCCGCAAGACGGGCGGCGTGGGTTGCAGAGTGCAGCACTGCAGACTGCTGCAGATTGCAGGCACCTTCACTGTCTGACCATGCGGTCAGCACGACCCTTGGAGGGTTGGAGCCTGCTTATCACAGCGTCTCACTGCCAAGTGCCTGGACCAAGTTGGAAGTGGCGAGTGAGCAGTAGATAGGCACTTCAGGTCCGGCCGTCTGATTGTTGGACGTCTTTCTGACCGCCTTCGATCTGAATTTTTGATAGAAGGGGTATATCTCGCGGTCCATATGACTTCAAGACCTGCCAGAACTCATGGCCGGATCGTGCGTCCAACTTCTACCCTTGCATCCCTTACGATTGACTGGCGGGTGAATCTGAATCATCACGATTCACCCGGTGGGCGATCCGTTGGAAGAAATTGTTGAGTGAAGTATGCCGCGTCGCCTCTCGATGCTGCTGCAATGCCCACGTATCGTAGTGCTCCTCCCCCACCTCTTCCAGCAGCGACAGGAATCGGTCTTCCAAATCCCCAAAGTTCACGTTCAGATGTCCAGCCTCGGCGGCGGAAGAGAGCCCGCCACGGTAAAAGAATAGAGGTGCAAGCCGATCCAAACGCATCGCTGAGCCTCGAAGCGGCCTATCCGGATGAGGATCGCACTCCAGAGGCTCATCCTCCCGCGTCGGCCTGCTGAGATCCAGGGCTCCGAACCGCGTCAGTACGCGCTGCTCATCGACCAGGTTCGGGATGTTCTCGCCGCGGTTGAAAGCCGTGAGGAGCAACTCTGGGACGCCGAGGCGCTTCCACTGCCCTCCGAAGGGGAAGGCGTCCCAGTACATGGGTAGAATACGCTGCCTGACCATCATGTAGTTCTTTTCCCAGTCTAGGAACTTGATGTTGAGGGTTCCTATGGCCTTGAGGGAGCCGAGGAGGCGCGCCACGTCGTTGGCCTTTGCCCAGTGGCAGAGGAACGGCGCGTTCCACTGGCGCCAGAACTTTTCGGTGTCGAGGATGGGTTCACCTTGGCATCCTCGATTCTGGGGTATGTTAGTCGATATGATGTGACATGTTGAATCATGCATGGATTCGGGACCATGAAGTTAGGCGGAAACGGAAATCAAGTGAGAGTGTCGTGAACTCGAAAACATACTAGTGAACTTCGGATCTGGGTAGAAAGATAACGTACATTCTTGTCAATCATCATGAAGCGAAACCCGCTCGTCTTTCTAGGAACATGGTGTGGTGAATACCACGGCGCATCAGCCGGAAACCACGGCCCCCGAAACTCCACAAACACATTCTCAATCTTGTCCGCGTCTCGCAGCTCGTCGAACACGGGGTTATCCATATGATTAACATGAATATACCGCGGCGCCGGGAAATCCGCGCTCTTCACGCTATGCGACGCAGCGATGGTGATCCACTGGTCCTTGCGACATGTCGCCGTGATGCGGATGGTGAGGCAGGGTATCTCGCCCGCCTTGCTGCGGGGAAACAAGTGCGGCGCGAGTTCGCGAGCTGTTTGCTTGCAGGTGTTGATGAGGCCTAGGACGGGCTGCTCGTCGCAGTTGAATTCAAAGTCGACGGGGAGGGGCGCGGCGACGAGGGCCCAGATTGTGTTGCGGAGCTTTGGGGGGAGCTGGAGGAGGGGCGAGTTCTGGGTGGTGGAGCCCATGTTTTGCGCCTGGTGTCAACTTTGTTATCAAAGATTTGGCTTAATTTGCTTTCCTCTCTGACATGGAGATATTACAAGATGCAAATGAATTATCGTCGTTTCACTCGTGAGTAAGCACTCAGCTTCGGACGGGAGCAGGTTTGGAAGGTCACGTGGCGGGCGGTCGCCTACTGCCAGATCACGTGGGGGCCCTGCTGCCTAGAGAGACGTCTCACAAGCAACTTCAAGAGGCACAGCATTGCACTAACTTCAAAGAACATCTGAAGACCTCTGTTTGTACAGACTGTTCCAACTTTGATTCGGACTTGTCTCGAACTTTTAGAGAAACCGTAGAAGTCAGACCGGGTCGTGATGGACACCTGCCGTGTAGTTGCCAGTTGACTTGGACATCTCCCAAACGGCTTCTTTAACCTTGATAGTTGAAAACTGTCCTCAGTCTACCAAGGTGGACAAAAAGCTAGAGTTTAAAGTTTCTGATTTATTGTTATGGACGCGAAGATGGGGGTACTTTGGGTTTCTCATATACCTCTCAAGGACAGGGCATTACTTGCTTGATATCCTAAGCGCTCTCTGACCTCAACAACAATAATCTTCGGAGCACCCCGATATCGAAAACATATTCTCGCACTTTTTGACCCACGAATAATTCATTTTCTTCGATAACAAGATACTCAGACATCGCAAACATGGCCGAGACTTCTTCACTGGACAAATTACCTGGAGAAATCCGCAACAAGATATGGAAACTGATCTTCACCCCGCCACCATGCCCGCCAAACCGAGAGAGGTCCGGGCCGCCAACAGGCATCCTCAGCTGCAGCAAACGCCTCTCGCAGGAATTCTCCTCATTCCTCTTCCACCAAAACTCAAATGGCGAAATCCCGGATCTCACTATCGTCATCACGACTACGTGTCGAAGAGACGCCTGGCTATCGTTGGCAGTCGAGCCCGAGTGCACAGTGCCCGAAAAATGTTTTCACTTTGACGAGCGCATCGACAAAGCGCGATGCTTCGACGTAAACGACATGGACAACCCAGTCTTTGACGTTCTCCGCGAAGCACAACAGATCAACATGGTTCACGTCCGCTTCGACGGCCCCTGGTTCGTCAACGAGGCACCGTTGTATTCGCTGCCGGGGACGCGCAGAGCTCGGTTTGGAGAGGATCCGATTTACGATGCAGAAGCCTTCTGGCGGCAGTGGGATGTTCCGTTTCTTTGTCACTGGGCTAAAGCACGGGACGTTGCTCGGCTACTCGGGTCGTTTCAGAGGATCGGAAAGATGGCGATACATTTCAACGATTGGCGTCGGGATGGTCGAAGGGACGGCAAAAAGTATTGGCATGCAATACCGTTCTACACTTCTATCAAGGACTCGGAGCTGAGGACTCCGATCAGGCTGTGGCGGCTGCTGATAGATTGCTTCTTGCAAGGGGATGGAGACGGAATGAATATGCTGAATCTGGGTTTCATTGAATGCGCGACCCGATTCGGCATCATTAAGTTTCCTACTAAAAATCAGCCTGAGGGAGAGCTGACCCTCGACGATGACCACGGCGATGGCTTGGCTGATCGACTCGAGGGGCTTGGGCCGATCAAGAAACCACAAACTCTTGAAGAAGCCCCCAAGCACCATGTAAACCGCCTCTTCGCCGCGTTTACATCGCTTTTGGAACAACAGGGTGACGACATATACGATATTTGGGCCCTTCGAGAGCACCGAGCGGCGACATCGAATTCGTCGGCCAGGAACTTTTTCCATCGAATGCAACGTCAAGAAGGTACCCGATAGTTTAAGTCCAAGTAGGATAATGACAAGATCACAAGACTCTGTGAAGAATCGCGGTCTACGACCCGTGTGAAGAGCATGAACGATACCGTGCATGTATTTGGATATCCCCGTTTCCGCGTGCACGATAGACAGTCCGCCTGCCTCGTTCAGGCATGCTATTCATGTCGCCAATCCTCATGCAGCGGTCACATCTACGTTTTCGGACTTCTACCCAGCGGACGAATACGCGATAACCAATCCGACTTTCCTCATTGACGGGCACCCATGTTAGCTCCGCAGTACAAAGCGGACCGCAGCCCGGAATGCAACGTTGTTAAACCCGCTGTCATCCTTAGCTCGCTTACGTTCCACAACATCGCCTGGCTTGCATCAAGTCGTCTCCTCGTGATGCGGGGGGCATCGAGGGCTTGTAAAAACATCGTGGGAGAGGCAAATCGTAGCAGAGTTTAGAGAATTGCAACATTTCTGGGCTTCCATCTCACTTTTTCGTGAAGATGAGTTTCATCCCTGAGGCTATCACGCCGACGTCCGTCCTGTCGTGGCAGTGTGCAGCTACGCTCCTCGTCATATGGATTACCTATTGTCTAGGGCGCGCCATCTACAATGTCTCGCCTCTACACCCCCTCAGCAAGTTTCCTGGTCCCAAACTGGCTGCCGCTTCGTATGCTCCCGAGTGCTGGTACGATTTCGTGAAGAAGGGGCGGTATACCTATGAGATTGTCAAGATGCACCAAATCTACGGTACGTGATTCATGTTGTCGTGAGACTCGATTTCCCTCAGATACATCGGCTGATGGAGAATAATCTAGGACCCATAGTCCGTATTAACCCTGACGAGGTGCACTGCAACGACGTCCGCTTCACCGACGAAGTCTACGCCATCAACGGGAGAAAGAGGGACAAGCACATCCACCACATGATCAACCTACCAGACCCGTATAACTCCCACCAGCAATTCTCATGCATCTAGCTTGCTCGACTCTGACTCCCATCACAGCGCTACCTTCGCTACATTTGGCACCCTTGACCACGATCTACACCGCAGACGGCGAGCCGCCGTCGGCAAGTTCTTCTCCCGGCAGCAAATGCTCAAGCTCGAGCCGCAAGTCCACGCATCAGCGCAAAAGCTCTGCGACAAGCTTCTCTTATTTTCTGGTCTTGATGGCGATGTCGTGCCTTTGCAAGACGCCTATAGCTGTTTTACGACGGACGTGATTACCGAGTACTGCTTTGGCGAGTCGATTGGATTTCTTGAGCAAAAGGAGTGGACGCCTAATTATCGTTCGGCTGTTTATGGGGCACTGGTTCATACGTTCCTATTCAAGTTCTTTCCGTGGACGAAGATCGTTATGAATGCTGGGCCGTAGTAAGTGCAGTTGCATACCTGCTGGAGCGAGAGTCATCAATAACAGCTGACTTATCTAGTCTCAAGAATTACCTACCAAGGGACACGGCCATCTTCATCAATACCTACGCAGTAAGTTCACCCTGGTTCCTTGGTCAAAATGTATGAAAGAACTCCAAGAACGGCGATTGATAAATAAGCACCACAGACCGTCATCCCAGCCCTCGTAGAGAAGGCGAGAGACCGCAAAGTGACAGGCACAGATATATACCAACACTCGCCTAACGTCTTCGCCGCCTTATTCGACTCCGATCTCCCGCCCGAAGAAAAGACGGTTCCACGACTCACGTCCGAGGGTGCCATCATGATAACCGCAGGAACGGAAACAACAAGCTACACGCTTACAATGATCAGCTTTCACCTCCTGTCGAACCCCAAAATCTTGGAAAGGTTGACACAAGAGCTTCAAGGGGCGGTCAAGGATCCGAAGCATCTGCCAAACTGGCCGACGTTGGAAACATTGCCGTATCTGAATGCCGTCATATCTGAGGGTCTACGGCTGGCGCCCGGCGGGTCGATGCGCACTGGCAGAGTCGCTACCGAGGAGGATCTCGTCTATCGCGGGAAATGGAGGCCAGAAGGGTCAGATGTCGATGTGGATGTGTGCCATGTCATTCCCCGCGGGTGGGCGGTTAGTATGAGCGCCATCATCTCACATCTCGATGAGAGGATGTTTCCGAACGCCAAGGAGTTTATACCAGAGCGGTGGATCGATGAGAACGGTCAGAGAAGGAGGGGGTTGGAAGCTGGGTTCATCCCCTTTTCCAAGGGAACGCGACAGTGTGTGGGAATGCCGTAAGTTTTTGACTACCCCTTGCGAATTCCTTGTTCACCTGTACTGACCTTCTGCGTAGACTCGCATACTCTGAGTTATATATCGCTTTGACTTCATTGGTGCTGAGGGTCTTTCCGCGTATGAAGCTGTACGATACTACTTTGCGCGATGTTGAGTATGACCATGACTTGGGCGTGCCGATTCCCGCGACCGAGAACGGTGTGAAGGTCAAGATCATTTAGTCTGTTAGAATAATTGAGGATGAACTATCAAGTAAATATATTTGTTGAGCATATAAGGTGAACCGCTCATGGACTTCCATTCCCACGGGCCAGTTGAGTGCAACCACATCACCAAAATGTCGATTGAACTTGAAAACTCACAGTCTTTGTGATTCACTACCTAAATATAGCTAAATCCCATCCTCAACATTCACTCAATCCATCTCCCTGCATTTATAAAAACAAAGAACTGCAACCTTGGCTTGATTCTCACAACATTCTCCGCTCCACCGTCTCTTTAACCGTCTGTTCAAACTTAAATTTCCCAGTCTATCTAACTTTCTTCATCATGAAGCTTAACGTTTGTGTTGTCGTGGGGTTGACTGCCATCTGTCAAGCCGAACAGCTCTCAGTAATCCCCATCAATGAGACGACATGTCACTCTCTTCCGAAGGCTTCTTCGATTGAAGTCATGCCTATAAATGTGACTACAGCTCACTCAACCCTCAAGCCTTCGTCAATTGGAGTCATTCCCATCGACGTGGTAACAGGCCACTCCCTCCTCAAACCCTCGCCAACCCAAGCTCCATCCAACTGCACATGCACGCATGAGGACACGAACAAACCAATCACCCATAACCGCCCGGCTGAAGTCCCGTACTGGGGCTTTAAGCAAAGCTGCACCGAAATCCACGGCGACGGAGGCGAAGCAGCACTTATTTGGTCCTGCTGCGACACGACCCACGGCTACGGCATCCAGAATCGGTTTCGTCTAGGCCAGTGTATCGAGAACGTGCGCGGGAAGCTAATCCCGCGCAAGAATGGGGGGTTCTGGCGCACGTGTGAGGATTGTGGGCTCAAGGATCCAGAGAGGCCGACCGTGTATAGCTGCAAGTGCTGGCCCATGCCTAGGCATGGGGCGGAGCATGAGCGTGTGGAGGCTGAGATTGAGTTGGTAAGTCGCGGGAAAAGAGATTTTGAAAGTGTTGATGGGATGTTGGTGCTAATGATATGTGTAGAACGACTTTATCGGCAACGACCATGGCAAGTTGGTTTGCTTCGGCGTCAGGGAGCAGCGCTACTGGGGAAACTGCACCAATAACTTTCCTTGGAATAACTAGACTTCAAGATAGCAGATAGATACACTGAGCCTACTTATCAAGACTCATAAGCGTGAAAACCCTTTGCGATAATCTTCCAACCCCCATCAACCTTGATCAACGTGTGAAAGTCTGTGTAGGCCGGTCCATCGGGGGTGTTTTCCATGTCCACCTTGACGACGGCGGTCGTGGGCGTAATACCAATGACGTCGCAACGGGTCTTGAGGGACGCGCTTGTGCCGTATGTGTCGAAGAATGCCTGAAGGTTGGTGTACGAGCCTAACGAGAGTGTGCCGTCGGCCGGGATCCAGCCGGTCATTGTTGCGTCCTTGTGGAATGCAAGGTCGAGCAGGGCGCGATCTGCTTTTGCGACGCTGTCGACATAGAGTTGGACTGTCTTGATGACTTCGTCATATTCTGACGTTGAGATTGTCTTGATGTTTTTGGACATTGTTGAAGGCTGGTGTTTTGGATGTTTGAGGTTCGAGGACTTGGTCATCACACGGGGTGTAGTTAATTATTCAAGCCTTGGTGTTTGGGTCTGACTTCTGTACACCACTTGGCGTTTCTTTTAAATACCGGACGTAAAAACTGTATCTTCTTTCAGACTAGGTTTGCGCAACCAGCCGGAGGTGCTTTCAAATCAAGCTCCGTGGAATTCCACATAAGGTAATGTTCTTTTCATGCCAAGGAAAGCACCTTGATGGTACCACAACGAACCCCTCCGAGGCCGTGGAGCAGCTGCCGATTGTTTGGTGTTCATCCGCGGAAACCTGCCAAAACCGGAGAAGGACAAGAACCACCTCCACGATGTGCTAGAATGCTTCAAACGAGTGTCGGTACTTTCTAAGCTTAAGTTACAGCCAAAGGGATATTTCACTCGCTCGAGAGAATATATCTTGTGTAACTCCAGAGAGTTGCGAGATAGTGATTAATGGAAAAGGTTAAGAGATCAATAGGTATTTCGACAATTAGGCGTGTTTACGGAAGCCCACAAAGCCTTGGAGGCCATGTCATGATTTGTACAAGTACCTCTCTCGCTTCCCTCAGTTGAATACCACACGGGCGGTCATACAACATACGACGATCATACGACTTGGCAAGTTAATCCTTCTTCAAGAGAATCCATCAATGGCCACAGGTACCGTCAGAACGTCCAGACACATGGGCTAAGGTAATGATGAATTAGGATTAAGACTTCTAGACCAGACTGGAAGGATCAAGACTTACGTCTGCATTCGGCGTTGAGACAGCAATCACTACTTCCAACAGTACAATCGCCTGTTATGCAAGTAATTAGTCGGCCAGGATGGGACGAGGCCATCGTCATCTGCGATGGCACGAAGGAAACCTACCGCCAGCTGGCGTGCAAGCTAATAGAGGGAATCGAATTAGCAAGGGCTCAAAAACTCTAAGGATAGTGGATGAATCCTAGGCAGTTGCCAACTTACCCAGAGAAGATGCGACAAGAGCGCTCATAACCGTGAAGATGGAGAGAATGTTGACCTGCATGGTGTCCTAGGTTTCGTATTGAGTTTCTTGTCGAAGGCGGGTTGTAGGGCAAGTTGAGGTCAATGGCAAAGGCTCTTTACAAATATTTGTGATCCCGCTTACTACTAGAAGCTTTACTTGGCAGACTAACCGCCCTACTTATAGATGTGAGAACTGCCATTTCTTCCGCATCCACATGTTCGGAAAGAGCGGACTTGAACATGCTCGTTAGAAGGCATTATGTTGACTCGAGTCATTGGTTCGTGATTTGACTTTCAAACGGGGTGGATAGCTTCATGATTCAGTGGACAAAGGTACTAGGGAGTCACGGAGGAAAGCGCAAGCATCATCGTGTATGGGCCAAAATCCCTGGGGTCTATTGGCGAATAACTGACCTCGGTCTCGCATTATTACTAGTGCGGACACAATGGCCTCGTCAGAATGGTGTGTAGAGTTTCAACCGCGTAATACGGGAAACCTTAATAGATGGAATTAGGCATTTGGACTAAGGTAATGGCACTCAGGAAGTACAATCTCACTGTGAAGCTCTAGGTACGGAGACTTAGTTGAGGATCTTGTCTGCAAATACAATCCCGATCGGGAACTATTTCCCGCCCGATTTAACATCTCGCTACGTTTATGTGATCACAACACCACTGGCACCGGTTATATCCTTTGGTAAGAAATGAGAGCGTCGTCTCTGGTGTCTCAGTAAGGTCTCTCAAACTTCGCCATAAAAACAAACCATGAGCTCCTGAGGACGGTCCTGAGCCATCCGAGATGGTCTTGCATATATTGTGAAAGAGCATCAACCATCAAAACTTTACAGCTTCAACTTCAAACTTGAGAAGATGCCGTAGTCAAAATTATAGTCATCATACTCACATCTTGCCGTTGTATTCAAAGTGTACATAAAGTAAAATTCACCGACAGCCTGGCATAAGGTAGATGAGTAAACACACAGCATACTAGCTTGAATAAACACACTCCGCACTTTTAGTTCTGAAGAGGGTTGGAAGCTAGCGTACGGGCCAGTGGGTTGCAATTAAGACAATACGTCCAGACTACTCAATGATACTTGACGAGCGATGCAGCCATTGTTTGGGGGAGATCCGAAATATGGAATCGCAAGTTTGCCCACACCTCTCCTGGAATTATTAAGTTTTTGAGTACTTCAGCTTCAGAATGATATCGTCAAACACGTCTATAGGGGAGTACTTTGTGCAAAACATGTAGACGGAGGTGGAAACCTATCAAGTGAAATCTGGCACCGAGGTGAGAAAGGATTTATAAAGAGAAAATCATCATCTAGATATCACCAATACCTGATGTAGGGAAAAAGAAAAACAAAATATTGCACGACCTAGGTCGTGATGAAACAATTGGAGATGGAGGCGCGCCACGAGTTCATACATGATCTGGTCAATGGCGGCGAGGATTTCATGATGCGCGCCAAAGAGGTGCACAGTTCAGTCATCCGACATACATATGTTGTGGATATTAAAGTTCTCGGCGCTTAAGAATCAAGAACCAAGAACTCCAAAACTTCCGTCGTTAGTATACACCCGCATCTCCGATACTCAATCTTTCCGCACTTAAGCACCTTACCTTTCACGAGCGACCACGTTTTCCAATACCATTTCTTGTTTTACTCATTACAACCCTAGCCTCGGCGTCTCAAAATACTTCCATCCTATTTTGTGACCTCGACAGGAACTACAACCAAAAATACCCGAAAAGTTCAACGAGATGGACCGCCAGTGTCCCCAGAGCAATGCACTGCATAGAAGTTCCCTGGAGAGACTCCCACCCGAATTACTTATGGAAATTTGCAAAAGCCTAGACAACGTATGTTCTACAGATTCGCGTCACTTCGGGAAACCCCTCAAAAGTCTTGCGTCACTCTGTCGAGCATCGAAGCTTTTGCACGCTATTGGAACAGCTGTGCTCTATCAGCGATTTCAATTTCGAATCAGCAGAGAGGAACCCAGCTTGGGAAGACTGATACAATTTATATTGACGACCCGGCGGAATTCTCTCCTGGCTGTGCATGTGAGAGACCTGACTCTTGAGATACATAATGCAGACTATCTGAGCTACCGCCGAACGACTGTCCACGAATCATCAAGAAACCTAGACTTGGAACTTGTATCGTTGGCACCCACGCTTCGAATGCTCCGGTATTCCACCTCGACCTTGCAGTTCGCCATTATTCTAGCGCAGTACCTTATCATACGGCTGACACAACTGAGAAGACTATCAATGAGGTCTCATTGTCCTAGCTCAACGCACATAGTAGGTAATTGGGCCTATCTTAGGACAAATGGACGACCAGGGAGCTTGCCACATTTACGAATCGTGGCAATCCAAGCAATGGAAGCACCCGCAGCATCCCAAAAATGGAGCTCTAGTATCTTACAAGCTCTTTGTCAAATCGCGCCAAACATCACCTATTTAGATACTGAGCTGGTTATACCATTGCCAACATCTATCGACATGGCAAACGCAACCTTTCACCTGCGCAACATTGAATACCTCAATCTAAACGGGACAGAGATAGGACCTGAGATGTTGTCTTCATTGGTCCATTCCTGTGGACCACTGAAAGGTTTCAAGTATCGACCAGCCACCTGGAACATGTATGGATGGCGTCCTCGGACGCGAGAAACTGCCGATATCACCGCTGGGTCGATACTGGATGCACTCAGACCTCACGCAAATACGTTAGAGTCTTTGGAATTAAACATTATGGAAAATGTCTTCCGTTCAGGCCGTCGGGAGCAGCTGGAATCCATGCGACATTTCGAAACTCTCACATACTTGGGACTGGATAGCTTCTGCTACGACGGGCGACAGTCCCTAGGCAACATTCTCCCAGGCAGACTAGAGACTATAGAAATCACATGCATGCATGAAACGATGCATGAAGATGTCTTGGAGCTGGCGCGTTTAGCCAATTGGCTTCCCAACCTCCACACGGTTAATTTATATCCTTGGCCCAATAGCACGAGCTGCCCTACGAGTATTCTCAAAATCTCGACCATTGCTGAGAAATTTCGACAAAGAAACGTAGTATTCTCATTCTCTCACGGAACTTACCCCGATCGCGCATCCAAATGGGGGTGTGCCAGCTTTCTAAACCGCTTGGCCCCGTGGTACCCTCCTCACGGACAGCTTGAGACAACAGCTTAGCTAGAAAACGATTATCTGTTTGGGCAGCACTGATGGAGAATAGCCCCGCTTCATAGCTGCCGAGCCGAATAAAGACCGGTATGATGATTTATCTACAATGGACTAATCACTTTGTCCTCATCATCCATGGTATAGGTAGACTATACACAATTATTGAGGCAACATCGGCCCTAAATGGTATTGGTAGTTGGGTAATCGGGATGAATTGGTTGAGCTGCTAATTGATAGAAACTATGGCCCAATACAGCATGTTCATAGATGTTGAGATTTAATTGCAACAATATCTTCATGTGAAATCACAAATAGTGGCTGATGAAATCAGCAGAGAAGTGTATGTTGAGCTCCAAACGACCAGAATCATAAATCCAACCCTTTCCGATCACCTACTTTATGAAAACTTCCAATCACGAAATACCACCAAAGGGCCTCGAAATCTCTTTCAGAGGTGACCATTGACACACAACTTGCAGTTGTTTGACTAGAGAGTTTGTAAGCCTCCTGACTGAACCGAGAACCATCGAGATAACTAACAGCTGACAAAATCGTGGCTACAACAGCGGCTGAGCATTTGGAATCTTCCTTCACATCTGTTTTCAGATTCCAGATTAGCAATTGACAAGAGGGATTATTTTCCGCTGTTGTTCTTGTTTCACCCTGAGTACCTGGTTAAGGTGCTGTCGGAGGCGTGAATCCGAGTAAATAGAGGGGCGACATCACGATGGAAATGCTTACCGAGTCCGCGAGCAGCGATCGCCCACATGCAGGTGA